CTGAGTGCTTCCTGTAGGAATAATAATATATTAATAATAACAATAATTGATGAGGACATGGTCTTAGATGTGGACCGCAGGCACATTCCGTTAGGAGGAGGTCTTCTGAGTTCAAATCCAACGTTCTTTCTACTACACCCTGTTGCCTTTCCTGCATTATTAAACTATAAATATCTTGAGGGCAGGGATTTTTCTGCCCATTTCTTTCCAAGGACAATGTCTTATACACTATTCTATCAGAACAATTTTTTTTAGTTGAATTGGGGTAAAGTATTTACATATTGAACTACAAGGAGCATAGCATTAGTAACTAGTCTGTTAATTCCCCAATAGGAAGACAAAAATGATGGACGAATATGTAGAATAGGCAACTAAAGAAGCAGAATCAAGAAAGAAAATTCCCGTTTTGTCATTCCGGTTCTGAACAACAGCAACAACAGAAAAGTACAACGCCAACATGGATATGTTCAACAAGCAGAAGATTTAATGACATCAGAAGTGATAAACTTTCTAGGAGCTTGGTTACTCTATGACCAAAGGCTAGGTCCCAGGCAGTAAGCAGGAAGCGTTTTCAAAACACATAAAGGCATGAGTGACTGCGTAAACTCGAAATTTCTTTACAGCTTACAAAAGGCCCAATTTCTTTACAAGTAATACTTTGTTGATTGATTTTGTGTGTGTGTGGTTTAGGGTAATAATTACTTATTGGACTTGTTTCAAGGAATTGAAGAGTAACTCACAATCTGTTCCAGAGCATAAATTTGAATTAATGGGACTAACGGTGGAAGCTGACCAGAAAAAAGTCTTATCCAAGTTATTTCCATGATATTCATATTTACAACTCTTATGAGCCTATCAGGTAAGTGCATGCTGGGAGTTTTCTCTCAGTCATAGAACTTTTTGTTCAGTCTTGTTGGACTCTTCATGACGCCATTTGGGGTTTTCTTGGCAGATACTGGAGTGGTTCACCTTTTCCTTCTCTAGCTCGTTTTATAGATGAGGAAACTGAGGCAAACACGGTTAAGTGACCTGCCTAGGGTCACAAAACTTGTAAGCATCTGAGGTCAGCTTTGAACTCAGGGAGAAGAATCTTCTTGACTCCAGACCCAGCACTCTATCTACTGCATCACCTAGCTGCTGTCTGCCATAGAACAAGAGGGTCACACTCTCGGAGATGGAAAGGATCCTGGAGGTCAATGATCCCTAACCTGGACAGCCCATGGCATTTTTTTTCCAATTCCCCAAAATTTTACTACCAAACATCCTAAGTAAAAGTTTTAAATAGAAAAAAAGAATCTTGATATACAAAGTGAGTTGCATCCAAACACAATATGGTTAATGTGAAACAGAATCTAACTCCTAGTTAATTTCTTGGATAAAAGGTTGTGGCTACCACTATACCTTGACGGGAGATTTTGTTTATTGTGCCTACATGCTTGCGATGGTCTTCCCTTGTGTTTTCAATGTATCATCAACTAGCAGACAGTAGGAGATGTTTATTTCTTACTGGTATCATGGAGTTATTTTAATTATGGTGGTCTGATATTTATGGATTTACTTGACATATTCCTTTGAATAATGTAAATATTAACTGAAGAAGGACAATTATAAAAAATGAGTTTTAAACTTCACAGAAAAGATTTTCTTTGCAAAAATAATAGTGAACTCAAGATTCAGATTTACCTGCTCCTGACAATAATAAGAAATTGGAATTAAATTATTTGCCTAAAAGGAAGAAAAGATAAGGTCTTATTCAAAGGGATAACACTTATTATTTAAAAACTGAGTTCATTGTTTGGTCTGGATCAAGGTACACATTACTAAAACCATAGTGTGTCATTTCCAAAGATGATTTATTGAACAAAAGCACAAAGGAAGGAAAGCTTTCTTGACCCTGAAAACAATATTCAGAATTTAAAAATAAACTGATCAACTTTTCCCAACAAGAATCACTGGAAGTAAAAAGTATAGAAGTCCTTTTATAAAATGTTTATAAATTGAGAAAAAAATCACTTATGAAAGTTTTCTTATTAATTACTTTTTAAAGGTATTGTCAGCAAGAAACCCCTTTGACAATAAATAAAACCAAAGCAAAGGAGAGTCAGGTCCCTCTCTACATCTTTTAGTTATATCTTCAATCCCAAGGACAGAAGAATGTAGTAAGTGAGAAAGAAAAGCAGTCACACTGATTATCTTTAATTTTCTACGATGTATTATTGCTATAATACTTCTGTGTTGACATTCCCCAATTGATAAATGGTCAAAGGATATGAACAGGCAGTTTTCAGGTGAAGAAATTAAAGCTACCTATAGTCATATGAAAAAATGTTCTAAATCACTATTGATTAGAGAAATGCAAATCAAAACAACTTTGAGGTACCATATCACACCTGTCAGGACAAAACAGGAAAATGATAACTGTTGGAGAAGATGTGGAACATTACTACATTGTTGGTGGAGTTGTGAACTGGTCCAACCATTTTGGAGAGCAATTTGGAACTATGCTCAAAGGGCTATAAAAATGTGTAAACACTTTGACCCAGCAATAGCACTTCTAGGGCTGTATTCCAAAGAGAACATAAAAATGGGAAAAGGACCCACATGTACAAAAATATTTATAGCAGCTCTATATGTGGTGGCAAAGAATTGGAAATTGAGGGCATGCCTGTCAGTTGGGGAATGGCTGAACAAGCTGTGGCATATGAATGTAATGGAATACTATTGTGCTATAAGAAATGATGAGCAAGTGGACTTCAGAAAAACCTGGAAAGACTTGTATGGACTGATGCTGAGTGAAGTGAACAGAACCAGGAGAACATTGTACACAGTAACAGCCATGTTGTGAGATGACTAACTTTGATAGACTTGGCTCTTCTCAGCAATGCAAGGATCTAAGACATCTCCAAAAATCTCATGATGGAAAATGCTATCCACATCTAGAGAAAGAACTGTGGAGTTTGAATGCAGATTGAAGCATACTATTTGCTCTTTTTTTCTTCTGTTTTATTTTGTTTCTTCTTTCTTGTGGTTCCTCCTATTGGTTCTAATTCTTCTTTACAACATGACTAATGTGAAAGTATGTTTAATAGGAATGTATACGTACAGCCTATATCAGATTGTACTCTGTCTTAGGGAGGGAGGCTGACAGGGAGGGGGAGAAAATTTAAAACTCAAAAGCTTATGGAGGCAAATGTTGAAAATGAAAAATAAATTAATAAAAATACTTCTATGTTGATATTTGAATACTATTTCATAATATATACATAAATTTTATTTCATTAACGTGTATTTTTCTCCAATTATACAAATTACAAGTCATCCAGGGCTGCCCATTCTATGGAATACTCACTCATTCATATACTCCCCTAAGTTTGTCATAGGGAGTCTACTCAACAGGATGAGGGCCTTTCTTGCTTTTTGCTGACAATGCAAGGATAGCAGTACAGCACATGGTCTGGCCACTTTCTCCACACGGCTACTCCATCCTTTTTCATCATACATTTCTTTGATGATATACTTCACTCCACTTCTTGGTAGTTCCTTGTTAGGAGCTATTTAGCCTATTTACACCTGTCATATACCTCTCTGTGTGATACTCATCTTAATTCTTTAGAGAGTCTAGTGTTCTGTTACTTACAGCCATGCAACAATACCACTAGGAAAAAGAAATGAAAATTTTAAAGAAAATATTAGTCTATTAAATATTTTAATGAATAAATGTCTATGTACAACCTCCACTAAAGTCCGCCTCTAAAGCCTCATTATAATAGGGTAGAGGTACTTTTGAGGTCTCGAAGATAAATTGCAGTGGAATGTGAGCTTTGACTGACTCCAGTCGGCTTCAAAGTCTTAGAATGCTGAGTATACAATATACTCTGTGTCTGAGATACAAAAAGCAATCACGCTTAGAAAACATGGAGACTCATCAACAAAAGACTGACCACTAGGTGGTAAAATCTTGACGGGCCACACAGTTGTAATCTGTATGGTTGGAAAGTGTGACTGTACAAAATGATATCACACATCTTTAAATTGTTAGAGTATGGTGCAAGCATGTATATACCTCATATAAATCATCCATATTTTACCTATATATTACATGTTTAGGTACATATTTATACACATATCTGTATAGATATACATATCTATATACATATCTATGTAGAGAAGCAGTATGACCTCTGAGTCAGGAAAGACGGGTTCAAGTCCTGCTTTTGTACCTGCTGGTTATGTGACCCCATAATAAGTCATTTTAACCAATTAGTGCCTTGGTTAACTCCCTATATCCTAAGTTAGAGAATAGCTGCTGATCAGCATTCATAAAAGTAGTTTCTTCACCAGAGAGCTTCTTATACCAATGAAAGAATAGGTCTGGACTTAAAAAAAAAAAAAGCTTTTTTTCTTTATCTATACACATACACACACATGCCCAAGAAAATTTAAGGATGAAACTAGAAAGATAACAAACACAAACCTACACACACACATAGTAAAGCTCTGTCAAGATTTTTATTAACAAAGTAATTTCTCTTTTGAAAAAACTATTTTTCATTTTCAGCATTCACTTCTATAAGATTTTGAGTTTTAAATTTTCTCCCCCCACTCTCCTCTCCACTCCCCAAGACAGTATGTAATCTGACATAGGCTCTAAACAAAGTAATTTCTTCATCCATTGCAGTAGAGCCACTACATTTGGACTTCTCTGCTAAATGTCCTCTATGACAGTAGCAGCCATCTTTGTTCCCTGGAGAATGATATCCCATTTAGAGTACCAATAATTTAGTTAATATTTGTACATGGTCTAAAAATTACATAATTCTTAGCACTTCTATAAAATATGAAATACCAAGATCTTGAGGGGAAAGGGAACAGAAATCACATTCCTAATTACTACAGAAAAAAAAATTTTAAGAGAATATCCATAACCACCAACATATACACCTACTTTCCCATGTCTATAAAACCTTTATGAGAATAAGCTAAACATATATTTAGGGCATCTTTGAAAAGGGTATGAGCAATACTTTTACAAATGGTACTCTATAGCATATCACTTCTTTACAGTCACACAGTTGAGAATGCAAGCTTCCATCATGCTTAATATCTGTGGGCTATAAAAGAAAATGAAAAGAAAAAAAGGCATTTGATTCAGTAGAGAAAAACAGCACCTTAAAGGCTCACCTCTTTGGGGAGAATTTAGAAGACTCCTTGAAAGTGCAACACATAAGATGGTTTTGCTCAACAACACTGATTATTAATGACAAGGAAGGCAGAAAACAGGGAGGTACATGCTTTCCAAAGACTTTGAGTGTGGTCCTACTAATAGACCGAGTCAGCTTTCTTAGGGCCAGACTGGTTAAATGCTTGTCACAGGTAGGCTGACCAGTGAGTGGTTAATTTTTTTGGCTCTGGTAATCCGTGAAGTAAAATTACAAAATGGCCTTTGGGAAAAGGGGTAGTAGGTTGTTAAGTATCACACTATTTTAGATTAGCTCTAAATTTTTAACTTGGCTACTGGTACTCTAAATGTGAGGTCTCTGTCCAAAGACCAACAAGTGGACATACCGCTGGAGGAACTGAATGGTATCAATTTTGACATTCTGGATAGAATCAAGATCAGAAGATAGAAGTGGAAGGACAGTTCACAGCTTCCTCTTGAACTGACAAAGGAATTGGCAGAATTGGTTTTTATCATGCATTGGAAGGAACAAGAAGCATCATTTCATGCACGCTCTGGTATTGTATTGCCCAGTTCACAATAAGTAATTTTAAAAAGGCCACGATGAAAGATCATGAGGAAGTCGCAATTTATGCACCAACATCCACTGCAGATGATGAGGTAGAGAATTTTTTTACAAAGAACTTGATAAGACCCTCCAAAGTATTATAGCACACCCTTTGATACTCATTGAATTCAATACAAGGATTAGAATAGAGAATATTCTAAGGATGGTGAAAAATAGTTTGCAAACTGTGTACCAAGAATAAGAATGAGAAAACCCAGAGATTTATAGACTACCCAAAAGACTTGTGCTTATACATCAAAATATTTTCTTCAAGAAAAGAATTAGAAGGTGATAGACCTGGTAATTACTGAATAACATCACAAAAAAAGAAATCGATATTAATGGATAGGAAACAATGATAATAATAGCTAGCTTTTATATAGCACCTACTTTATGCCAGGCATTGTGCTAATAAGCACTTCATTTGATCCCCATAACAACTCTGGAAAGAAGGTACTACTATTATCCTCACTTTATAGTTGCGAAAAATGAAGGCAAACAGAGGTTAAGTGACTTGCCCAAGTTCACATAGCTAGTAAACGTCTGGGGTAAGAGTTGACCTCAGATCTTCCTGATTCCAGGACCAGTGCTCTATTCACTGTGCCACCTAACTGCCTGGGAAATGACTTATTATGACATGAAAGTCATTCCTAAATCAGCTCTCTTTGCATAATCAGACCACTTACTTGTTGGAGCTAAGACCAAAATAAATACAACTACTCTAAAAATAAAAATTTTAAAAAGCCAGGCAATTGGAATTAGTCGATGTATTTTTAAAAGTTGCTAATAATGAAAAATGGGATATGGTGGGAAGAAAGGCCATTAATACTTATTACAATAATTTCACAAAGAAGTCACAGTGGCTAGAATTATGAAGACCTGAGTTCCAATTCTGCCTCAGATACCTACTAGCTTTATGACCTTGTGCTATCTCCCTCAGATTCCTCATCTGTAAAATGGGGATAATAATAACACCTAACTCCCAAGGTTGTTGAGAGGATAAAATGAGATAAGGGAGGGAAGAAGGAAAAGAGGGGAGCATTTATTATATACTTACTATGTACCAAACACTGTGCTAAGGTCTGGGGATATAAATAAAAGCAAAAAGGAAGATAATCCCTGTCCTGACATTCTAATGAAGGAGCTGACATTCTAATGGGGGGAGACAACACGTGAAAGGGGGTAGGGAGAAACTACCTGGAGTATGCCCTGGACTATGGTTTTGGAGTCCAGAAAGTCAGGGAGGAGAAATAAGGCAGATGGGCCTGTGCTCTTCCCTAAAATGGAGGCTCCAGAAGGCACTTGCCAATGGGAGAATGGGAGTGGGGGGTGCAGAGGACTATCCCAGGATGACTGTGAAGGAGGGGTGGCAGGCTGGGCCAGGGCAAGATGATACTTGTAAAGTACTTTGCAAACCTTAAATGGTTATATGAATGCTATTGATACTTATTGTTATACTTCTTTATTATTATTATTATTATTATTATTATTATTATTATTATCATAGTGAAGTGATTAAAAGACCCTACAAACCACTTTAGTCAATGCAGGCCTGACTTAACATGCTTAGGGAAGAGATATGGCAGCCATGGGCAACATCTGTTGAGAGTATTAACTCATTTAAATATCCTTACAGAGAAAGATTCATATACTGCCTCTCCCATTGACTACCCACAGGACCTTAGACAGGTCATTTCATTTCCTTGAGCTTCAGTTTTCTTATCTGTAAGATAAGAGGTTGGATGTAGTTGGAGGCCCTTTCCTTCTTTAGATCTGTAAAATTGAAAGCAGTATCATTTAATCAGACAAAAGAAATATTGCAGGGGAAAACCAGAACATTGAGCTAGAGACCCAAGTAAGCAAATACGTTCCATGGACATTTATTGAAGAAACTGGAAGAGGAAAACATAGAGACGAAAAGGTGGACAAGAACGAGAAAGATTTTTAGGATAAATTCTTTTTCCTATCATGGAAAGCAAAGACTCAATGCTCACAGTATGAGATGTTTTTCTAGAAGAGGTGGAGATGGCCATAAAGAGAAAAAAGAGGGGAAAAGCAGCTGGATTAGGCCAAGAGTCCGCAGGGAAGGTCCATGTTGGAGGTGACACAATTATGTCACTGAAGTAGCATTTTTCAGTGAATCAGAAGGAGAGAAAGACACAAAAGGCCTAGAAATATATTGTTGTTCAGTCATTTTTCAGTCATGTTCACTCTTCATTGGGGTTTGCTTGGCAAAGATGGTTTTTGCCATTTCCTTCTCCAGTTCATTTTACAGATGAGGAAAATGAGGCAAACAAGGCTAAGTGACTTGCCTAGGGTCACACAGCTAGTAAGAGTCTGAGGCCACATTTTAATTCAGGTCTTACTAACTCCAGGCCCAGTTCTCTATCCACTGTGCCACTTAGCTGCCCACAGGACCCGATTAAAATATTAGACCCACTTAAATAATCAAAGAATTAAGCAATAAATAAATAGGCATTTACTAAGCATGTTAACTATTTTCTAGGAACTGCATTAGACAAAAATGAAACAGTACTTACCCTCAGAGAGACTACATTCTGTAACAGAAAAAAAAAGATCAGAAAAAAAACATCATCCATTATTGACATATTCTTTCTTTCTCATCTATATAAACATTTTATGAAAACAAACAAGACATATTAGGAATAGCTAGGTGGCACAGTGGATTGAGCTCCAGGCTTGGCATCAGGAGGACCTGAATTCATATTTGGCCTCAGACACTTGACACTTACTAGCTGTGTGACCCTGGGCAAGTCATTTAACCCTGATTGCCTCACCAAAAAAAGTAAAAAACAAAACAAAACAAAACAAAAAAACAAAAAGAAAGAAAATAAACAAGAAACACATTTAGAGTATTCTTGATGAATATTATTTGGAAATAGACAGGCTTTCATAAGTGATAGTCCATAGTACCCCACATCTTCCCCACTACTCAACCAGACGAAAAATGTAGAAAATGCAAAAGACCAGTCCTTTGGAGAATATTTTTAAAATCTGATCCAGTCAAGCAAAACATTGCCTTACCAGTAATGCTTTAAATTGCCTTAATTGCCTCAAAATCTCCCACAGGGTGTCTCCCATGCATACATCAATGTTTTACAAGACTCCTTGAAAGATATAACAAAAACAATCTTCTTTGATGAATTCCCATTCGTTAATATTAGGTGAGGCATAAAACAGGGAGATAGGTATACACACTCCAAGGATGTCTGCAATTGTCATGGAAGAGATCAAGGGCAGAATCTACATTGAAGAGGAATTAGGTAGAGATGATGATGTCTTCTAGATATTTCCATTTGCAAATGACATTGTGTTAGATTTGTGCTTGGTTCTTTCCTTTCAAGATTTTTATCATTGACTTGGATAAAGGAAGAAATGGTATGTTGATTAAATTTATAAATGACATACATATAAAGTTTGACACCTGGATTTAAAGAGTCAACTTTATCATTACAAAGTGAGAGAAGTGAGGTTAGCTAATGGTTTGGAAAGTGAATTGTAAGGGCAATGAGTACACAGTATGAGATAAAGTCAAGAAAGTGAATATTATCTTAGACTGTATTGAGAAGCCTAGTGATAAGAGCTAAGGTAGTGTTAGTTCAGGGATGTGATAGTAAATGTTTAACAACCACCTCTTGTTGGGGGGGGGGAAGTAAGCATTACAAACTTTTAAAATCGAATCTGCATTTTAATGTTTTCCCCATCATCTTCTTAAATCTAAAAATCAATGAAACAATAAATCAAGCCCTGATTTGGAGCATTTGCCAATTTCCAGTGTAAATGTTCAACATTTAAAATTTTAACAATCAGCTCCCAGAGCCAGTTTGAATTAGCACACTCTAATTTATTCTTTCCTGATCAGACCACACAAAGTATTTTGTTCACTTTTGGATACCAAATTTTAGGAAGGGCACTGATAATCTGGAGAATGTCTAAAGAAGGACAGCCAGGGCTTCATGATTATGCTATATGACATTCAGCTGAAGGATCTGGGGGTGGTTGGTCTGAAGAAAAAGGGGTTTGGAGTGTAGAGGGACATGATAACTGTCTTCAAGTATCTGAAGATCTGCCAGGTGGAAAAGGAATTAGATTTTTCTGCTTGGTTGGTTTCACAGGGCAGATCTGGAGCAATAGGTACAGTTGCAAGGAAGAAAATGTAGACTTACCCCAAGAAAAAAATTCCCTAAAAGTTAGAGCTATTAAAAAATGGATGGACTAGGGCTGATGGGGTTCCCCTCTTGCTAGAGGTCTTCAAATCAAGACTGCTTCTTGGTTATACTGTAAACGACAATCTTGTTCAGAGCTACATTGGACTAGACAGCCTTTGTGGCTTCTAATATTGAGATTCTGATTCTGTGACTTTTTTTAACTCTTTTTTTTTTTAAGCTAGGCAATGGGGTTAAGTGACTCGCCCACGGTCACACAGCTAGTGAGTGTTATGTGTCTGCGGCTGGATTTGAACTCAGACCCTCCTGACTCCAGGGCCAGCACTGTATCCACTGTGCCACCTAGCCGCCCCCTTTTTTAACTCTTAATAAAGGGCTTCCCTTTGAACTTCAGTAGAATTTAAGCTAGTCATATGCACCAAATTGTCAAGAATCTCCAAGGCATTGCCTCATTTCCCTATTCCCCAGACTCTTCATACCCACTTTCCAAGTAGTGGAGAATAGCCACTGACCAGGCCCCAGGAAGGATGACCGCTAGCAGTAACAGTTCTGCTTATTCTTTTAAGGCAGCACCAAGGAGGTTATAGAGGTTGGGAGGGTAAAGTTCAAGATCGTTCACTGGAGAAGGGCATGAGGCCTAAACTGACAGCTTACTCTAGGTGCCAAGGTGTCTACAAGCCTGACAGGTGGTTTGTTTTGGATGGCCTCCTCTTGTTTCTTACAAGGGAAAACAGGATTAACTGAGCTTGAGCTAGGGCTCTATATCTATATCTATATATGTCCACGTATAGATATAGGTATGTAGATACATATATACACATTTAGGATTGATATGTGCTGACCCAGCTTTCCAGAAGAACAAATATGTATCTGTCTATTCATACCCATTCGAGAAGCCTTCCAGGCTTGGGCTTCATACAAACCTTGTGTTCAAATGCCACACAGGAACATTGCAGGCATAAGACAATGTGCCAACACACCACCACTCAATTTTTTTTTCTACGTTAAACTAGAACATTTTGCACTTTCTTCTACAATTCTTTCAAAGCAACTCATTTTTCCCTGCTGGAAGAGTGCCCATTGTTCATTTGACGCTAAAGATAGGTCTTCACTGTTTTCTTTTAAGGCAGCAATTGGGGAAAAAAAGTTAAGCTTTATTATGCTGGCTTGTCAAAAAGATACAACATTATACAAAGGAATGATGTGAAACAAAAATTGCTCTCTTCAACCTTCTCAGCCTCTTTCACATACAGATTTCAAGGCATTTTCTGCCCTCTTATATTCCTGGCATGGCTCAAAGAGTCAAATAATTTAAGAGAGAGACAGAGATTATGCCTTTCTGCTGTCCACAAAATCCCATCCCTTGCCAGTAAAACAAGGTAGGGAGGTATTGTGTGCTCTTTCAATGGGGGAAACAAATGAGGAAAACATACTTCAACTAGCTTTTATTACTGGGCAAGTTGATGCTTGTTACTATTTTCATAGAGGAAATGGAAAGCCTCAGTCTTTAAAGTTTTCTGGTGGTGGATTTTTTTTTTTAAGGGCAAGATACCCCCTCCATGGCATTCTCCTTACTGCACCAAACGTATATCTGAAATTCTAGATGAGGTGCTTGGCTTAGTAGGGCTTAGAAGAACACAATAACAAGTGAAGGAAAAAAATAATAATCATTGACATTTGTGTAGCACTTTATATACATAATCTCATTTGAGAGATCACCTATGAGGTATATGTTATAATTATGCCTATTTTATGGTTGAAGGAACAGTTCAAGATTAAGTGACTTGCCCATCCTTAAACAACTAATAAGTATGATGCTATGATGGTGTCAGAGGCAAGATCTTCCTAATACCATGTCCACTTCTCAACATACTACATCATGCAGCTTCTGAACAAAAGTCCTGGCTTAGAGCTCCAATAGTCCTGGTGGTTCTACCAGAGGGAGACTGGATTCCGAAGAAAAAGAGGACCCTTACCTGGTTGAGAAGGAATACCAAGCAGGCTTAAACCTTACTAAATAATGAGCCATAGACTAGTTTTAACCTTATAGGGGTAGTAAAGTTAGGTTGTATGGTGGAACTGTGAAAGAAACACTAGTATAGAAGGAAAGAAACTGAAGATCTACTCATTATTGCACCACTGTCTGTCTGACCTTAGTCACTTAAACCTCTTTAGATTTGTTCCCTTTTTCATAGGTAAGACAATTTGTTGGTAGATACATACATACATACATACATACATATATATACACACATACATACATATATATATGTGGAGATAGATATAGATATATACATACATATATGTGTATATGTGTGTGAGTATATATCAGAATATACACATGTATGCATATATGTGTATGTGTTTGTCTAGGCAATTAACAAACATTTATTAAGTGCTTATTATGTGCCAGGCACTGTGCCAAGCACAGGAGTGCAAAAAAACAGGCAAAACTCATTAAAATATCTCCTGCCTTATATACTGTTGGAGGAGGCAGCATGTAAATAAATGTTACATAGATGATACATACAGAAGAAAGGAAGGTAACCTTAGAAGGGAAGGTTCAGAGTGGCACTTGATCTGAACTTTGAAAGAATCCAGGGATGTAAAGACGCAAAGGTGAGGAAAAAGAACATACCAAGCCTATGTAAAGACACAGAAGAAAGAAAACAAGTATTTATTAAGTACCTACTATGTCAAGGTAATGTACTAAGCACTTTACAAATATGATTTTATTTGATCCTCAAAATAGCCCTGGGAGGTAGATGCTATGATTATTCCCATTTTAGAGTTGAGGAAACTGAGGGAGACAAAGGTTAAGTGATTTGCCTGGAATCACACGGGCAGTAAATACAGATAATCCCCACCTTAACATAAATTTGTAAATTCATATTATTCAAATTTGACTTCATGTAAAGAATTCTAAAAGAAATTGTTATTTCTCCCAAAAAACCCAACACCCCTATTTTAATTTTACTGTATAACATTGTGCCTTCTCTACTCTTGCCTCTCCACTCAGCAGCCTCTCATCCCCCACCAAAAAATAAACAACACACCAAACCCCTCCATTCTAGACTCTAGAAGGGACCCCTCAGAGTCCAGGAGAGAGCTACACTTAAGGCAAACTTCATAAAGCTCCCCAGAAAGGGAGAAAAGTAACTAGGAACTGTGAGCTTTCTCTTTGAGGAAATGCATTCTCTGAGTTCAAGCCTTCTCTCCCCAGGAATCTTGCGCATGGAAGGGGGAGAATGCTCCCTCTGAATTGGAATCTTTGTTTTGCAGTTATTATTCTCACTCTGCCATCTTAGTAAATATTATTTTTGTAAAAGCTAGTCGGTGTCAAACGGGTGATTAATATTGGGAAGCATATTAGGTGGGGTCTCGTGAGTGACAGTGCTGTCAGAACTACCCTAGAACATTAAGGGGAGAAATAGTCAGTTGGGGGTCCACCCAGTGGGATTTGGGAGCTGAAGTGCAGAGAGAGTGCTACAGAAGAAACACTCATTCGATCCAAGACTCAGAGAAGCAAACAGATCTCCCTTCATCCATGACAAGTTCCTAAGGCATGTTCACTCTTCTCATTGATGTTGTTTATTTACCAGGCCACAGATTTAGGACTGGAAGAGAATTGGATATAGTCCAACCCAGAAATATTAAGTAATTTGTCCAAAATCACACAGGTATATAAGAGACAGAGGCCACGTTGGAAACTAGTGCCAAATTAGGGGTACTTTCAACTGTACTGCGCTCTTTATGACTCCATAAGTGGAAGAAAGAGTATGCCTTAGGTTTGTGTGGAAAGTGTCTTATTAGTACATTTCTTGCTATTTTACTTTCTTGAATACCTTTGCTTTGAACTAATTGTGTCCTCTGGCTGACTAGCAAATGTAAACACATAGGTGGGAGCTCATAAACTGTGACTCTGGGTGGCTGTGGACTCACCAGGATCCTTCATGCTCATTTATCTTTTTCTGGGGAACTCACATGCCAGTTGGGAAGTATGAACAGGCGCTAACATCTGGAGCGTAAGCTCCTTTGAAGGCAGGGACTGTTGGGTTTTTGTCTTTGTATCTCCAGTGCTTAGAATAATTTCTTCTACCAATAAGTATTTCATAATTTAATAACCCTTAATAAGTATTTGTTGATTTGAACTAAAATTCAAGCGACTTGAATTCTGTTAAATTAGTTTGTCCTGGAGGAGATAGTCTTAACCTTGTTTTTTAAATATTTTGATAACTATTTCAATATAATTGGCTTCCTTTGTTATTGTATTTTCTTTTAATATATTTTAAAACATCGTGTTGAGAAGGGGATCCATAGTGATCACCAGACTGCCGCTAGAGTCCAAAACAAACAAACAAAAAGGTTAAGAACCCCCGGCCTAGACAAAGCCTACTGTCCTTTCCCCATCTAGATTGTGGGATTATGGGATGACCTTTGAACTTCCTCAAGGACTAACTCCTCATCACCTTGTTAAACTGCTCTATGAACACCCACCCCACTGGCAGGCAAGAGACTTTTAAACAGATAATAGAGCTCAGAAGAGGCAAGTAGAGGCTAATCGGCTGGGTGGCCTGTTCCCTCCTCTTCACTTTATTTGCAGACCTTTGGGTGTCCTTTTGAAGCCCTGAACGTTTCAAGCAGGCACATTGCCTGGTCTCTTGCTCCAGCCGGCCATCTGAGGCTGTCACTTTGGCTGACATGGCTACTTTTGCCTTCTTGACTGCTCTGTGACCTCTGAGCATCAGGTTTCATGGGGGATGAGAGGTAGCAGAGGGAGGAGGAGGAGGAGGAGGAGGAGGAGGAGGAGGAGGTGGGGCGTGCAAGCCACAAGGCAAATGTGCCTGGGAGGCTGCAGGGGAGCCCACCGAGAAACTCAGAACCCGCAAACCCTCCAGAAAACCAAACTGGATCCAGACGCCCAGCACATGTCTGAGCCCATGATCAGGCTGGCCGGCCCTGCCCCCACCCCTGAGGTCTAATTGTGAGAGCGAGCCGGACAGTCTGAGAGCTGACATTTGGGCCCTTGCAGAAAGTGAGAAAACCAGGCCCCTTGTGTAAGCTGTGGTTGGCGAGGGAGGGGTGCAGGCTGACAGGGGCCGATCGGGCAAACGGCAGACAGCACACAGGCATCTGTTTGTAATTCTTCAAGGAAGCTGCCCTGTTCTTTGTCGGGGCGGCCCAAAGACCAGCCGGGACCAAAGGTTAGACAGGAACTGCCTCTTAGGATGGATTCAGAGAGACAAGCTGAAATGGCTTCTTTGATCCCAGGAATGCCAGAATGAGGCCAATGTCATATCCTTTCTTTACTTGGCTATCTCAGTTGGACCCCCAGTCATACCTGCAATTTGGTGCGCTGCGTGAATTGCCGTTTGTCAGGGAGTGCTGCGATTGTTTTTTTTTTTAAATGACAAAGTTTTAAGGAATAAGTAACGAAATGCTTCTAAAAATAGCCCATTGAAGACTTGGAGGGAGAAGAAAGCTCAGGCTCGGCTCTCCCTGAGAGCTGCCTCTTTATCAGCCAAAAGGTGGCAGTAGTAAATTGCAGCCATTACCTTAAGCAAGGAGCTATTCTTCCTCCAGCTCTGCCTGGGATCCGGGCTTGCACCTTTCCTTCCTCCTCTGCCAGCTCACTGGGATCTTACTCATCAAGCTGTCCTCATATCCATCTGCTGCTCCCATCTGAGGTCAAGCCCCACCCCCACCCCCTCCCTCCACCTCCCACCACCTCCCCCACTCCCCCAGGTCTTCCTGCTCTTTCCCTGATAGGCACATGTCTCTGCACTCTAGAAACAACAGGGCTGGAAAGCTCACCCTCCAAAGAATGGCTAGAGCCGACAGGCCAATGCTTGACTGGATGGGCGGGGAGCAAACAAAGGGGCAGCCAGTCGCTGGCTCTGCCCTTGCTTAAGAGAAAATAAGATGCATTCTCTAGGAATCCAAGAGTAAATGCTTGAGTAAATGCTTGTCTATTTTTTTTTAAAGGGGAGGAAAATTGCTTTTCAAAAGAGGATGTGTAGAGGAATGGTGGAAAGGATGGTGGGCTTGGAAACAGAAAACTCAGATTCTAGTCTTGGTTCTGGCAGACATGACCCTGGGGCCTGAGAGTAAGTCATGAGTTCTCTGTGAGCGTCATTCAGCTTCCCCACCTGTAAGATGTGTTCAGTAACGCTTGTTAAGAAAGCAGTTTTATACACTATAGAGCCCGGTGTGAATGTGCTGCTGCTGTTTATAGGATTACAGAATTAGAGTTGGAAGGGATACCAGAGGCCATCTAGCCCAACCCCTTCATTTTGCAGATGAGAAACCAAAGAGAATTTCAATGACTTGCCCAAAGTAGCAGAAACTGGATTTGAACCCAGATCCTCTGATTCCAAAGCCAGCATATGGTATGGGATCACAGATCTAGAGCTAAAAAGAGACATTAGAGGCTAACTAGTATGACCCTCTCATTTTACAGATGGGGAAACTGAGCCCCAAAGAGATTAAATGATTTGTCTGAGGTTGTATAGATTGCAAATGGCAGACACAGAATTTGAACCCACATCCTCCGGTTCCAAAGCCATCATATTTTCTACTGGGTCATACTGCCACCTTCCAAAAGAAATTCATTAAAGTTCAATTCAATTTAACAAACATAAATCATGTGCCTATTATGGGCTGAGCACTGGGGATTCAAAAGGGAAAAAAAAAAGACTGTCCCTGCCCACAAAGAACTTACATTCTAACTGAGGCTGGGAGTCCAAGTTTAAAAATGAGTAAATCCAAAGTATAAAGAAAGTTATGCCAAGCAATTTAGGAGAAAGCAAATCAGAAAAACATCTCCTGTAAGGTGGAGGTACTGAGGGGAGCTCGTTTACAAGCATGAGGGACCATCTATGCAAAGGCTGGAGATGCAATGTTGTGTACAGGGAACAGCTAGTAGGAGGAGTATGCAAAGGGGAGTCGCATGAAATAAGAGCAGAAAAGTAGATTGGAACCAAATTGTTTAAGACTGCTGATGATTTTGGATTTTATCCAGTAGGTAACAGGGAGCTACTGAAGCTTTTTGAGTAAGAGTGACATAGATCCATGTTTTAGGAATGCTAATTTGGGAGCAAGGTGGAGCAGGTTGGAGAAAAAAGATATTGGAAGTAGTGGGGCCAACTTGATGACCGTTGGAACAGTGTAGTCAAGAGGTGACACAGCTTGAATTAGGGAAGGGAAGTCTGAGAAATGGGTTTGTGGTAGTTTGGGGGCATTTCTCTTTAAGCACTTCCTTCTTTCTAGACTCTCCTCCTGACTAGTTCTCCTGTGACATATCACAATTGTCTATTTGCTTGCTTACCTGCTGCCACCCATATGGAGTTATCACGTTCCAGCTGTATAGCTTACCTCCCTTGGTATTTGTAGCCTTTCAAGACAGACAGAGTCCATGCACCAACGCTCAGAATGGAGTGCAGTCTGGTTCAGGAGTATCCAGGCCATTCTACCAAGAAACTGCTAACCTAGCAAACCATCTCAATAATAGATTCAATAAGTATTCAATGTATTCAATAGCAAAGCAGCTTTAGTGTAGAAAATAAGTACCAATCACTGATAAAAATACTAGTTATTAGGGCCTTAATAGATAATGAAAGGAGGAAAATCTTTCTGCCCTGCTATTAAGTTAAACTCCCACAAAAAAGAGTTGCCTGATCACTTATTCATGCATTTAAGATGTATTAGATGTGAAAATGTAACTCTCATTTTGCAAGAATATTATAGCCTAAGTATCAATCATTGACAAATAGGAATTGATATTTAATATTTATAATTAACTTCTCAAGTGTTATGCTAGAGTAAGGCAATAACACACTGTTGTTATGCAGAGGGCATGGTCAGAATTACTAGAGATCGTTTTCTTTCCAAACTTAGTGAGACAGATACACACATACAAATATACACACACACCCCAATATCTTATTTTTAAGGCTACTTCGCAGTACCTAGATTCATAGCAGCGACAAGAAGCTATGATCGGTGATTTCATTAGAGTATGTATTCCTTCCACTCTTCCTGATCGCAACCCCTCTAGGTTTGCAAACAGTCTCTATAAATTGCCATCATTGAAATATTCATCTCCCTGAAGCCAGTCTTCTAGTGAGGAGCCTCTTTGATCTCAGCTAGGCTTGTCCTTGGACAACAGACATTCGGTCCACTGGTGATGAATCTCTTTGATCTTGTAGGCTGGTCCTTGGACAACAGGCATGAAGTCCAATGCCAAACTCTTATTCCAAGTCTTAATGCTAGAAAGGATATGCCAGAACTTTTGTTTGCTTGGCACAGCTTTTAAGAATGTGCAGGGCTGCCTTATGGGCTGCCCCCATACCATGGCAAAATGTTGGAGAAGGACATTAGGGGAGGAGAAAGTTCTATATTAAAGGGGGAAAGAGAAAATCAAAGGAAACCCAAAAGTGGTCAATAGATTTTCGAATCAAGAGGGGGTAAGAGGTGGGTCTAAACATACAAGAAAACTTGAGGAACCTTCAGAAGAGATAGAGTAATGATTAGTTCCTCTTGTCCCTCTCTACCAAAATTACCTTGCACTTAATTTTTCATCTACTTATTTGTATACATCTTATCCTCTTCCCCTCTCCTTGCAGTAGAATGTAAGCTTCTGGAGGGAAGGAATTGCTTCATTTTTTTCTTTGTACCCCCAGTGTCTTGCCCAAGGCCTGGCACATAGCAGGCACTAGATAATGCTTGTTGGTGGGAAAAGTTCAGAAAAGTTGAAGTATGTGAGTGCAATGAGATATTATGCAGTAAGAAATTACAAATATGAGGAATTCAGAGAAACATGGAGACATCTGAATGAATTGATACAGAGTGAAATAAACAGAAGTGAAAGAATAATAAGCTCACTGACTGTAACAATAAATGTAATGACTGCAACAATATAAAAGGAAAGATCACAAAAAGGAAAACCCAGAGAAGTGACAGTGGAACGTATGTTCCAACTCACAATGGAGAAGCAGGAGACTACAGGACCAAATATTGTATACATTGTCACATGTGATCAATATGTTTTTTTTTTCCTTAAAGGCAGCTAGGTAGAATGGTGGATAAAGAGATACCTTTGGAATCAGGAGGATGTGAGTTCAAATCCTGTCTCAGGCACTTAACTAGCTGTGTGTCCCTAGACCAGGGGAGGGGAACCTTTGGACTCAAGGCCATATGTGGCCCTCCAGGTCCTCATGTGAGGTTCTTTAACCAAATCCAAACTTCACAGAACAAATCCCCTTAATAAAAAGATGTGGTTTGTAAAACTTGGACTCAGTTAAAAGGCCACACCCAAAGACCTAGAAGGCCACATGTGGCCTCAAGGCTGCAGGTTCCCCAACCTTGCCCTAGGCCAATGACCTAATCTCCATCAGCCTCAGTTTCCTTATCTGTGCTGTCATTGAATCATTTCAATCTTCTCCAATGATCCTTTGTGACTCCATTTGGGGTTTTCTTGGCAAAGATACTGGAATCATTTGCCATTTCCTTCTCCAGCTCATTTTACAGATGAGGAAATTTCTTATCTGTAAAATAAGGTTAAAATAGTGCCTACATCACAAGGTTGTTGAAAGGATCAAATGAAATAATCTGTGTAAAGAGCTTTGCAAATCAGCACACTCTATAAATGTTAATTATTAATGTCCATGAAAAAAAGATAAAAGGCATCAATAAACCATATTTATACATATATATGTATAGGAGGCAGATCAGTGGATAGAACACTGGCCTTGGAGTCAGGAAGACCTCTGTTCAAATGTGACCTCAGACATCTACTAGCTGTATGACCTTGGGCAAGTCATTTAATATCTGTTTGCCCTAATCCACTGGTGAAGGAAATGGCAAACCACTCGAGTTGTATTTGCCGAGAAAATCTTACGGACAATATACAGTCTATGGAATCACAAAGAGTTGGCCATGATTGAATGATCAAACAAAAACAACACACACACACACACACACACACACACACACGCTTATTGAATTTAATTTAATTGATTAAAAAAAAACCTGGAAAAAGGTTAGAGGAAGTGGGTTATAATGGATGAGAAGGTTCACAGGACCCAAATATAATCTTCAAGGAAATAGAAAGGGTCTGCTACCACTATCTCCATACTCATTGATAGACTACATTCAGAGGAAAAGGGCTAAGACTGTACTCTGAAGATTTAAATGAATGATGAAGATGAACTTCCTGAGAATTATATTGCTAGACACCAATAGAGGTGTTTTCGGGAGCCTTTAAAAACAAGGTAGGCACTCATCATTTCAAAGTAGTTTAAAAAAAATTATGGATAAATGATGTTTTGAGAGCTGATACTTCCCAACACTGACGTAAGTGAACTTCATTCATTCATTCGTTTATTTATTAGTATATGAGCTTTAACAAAATTCTAACATTTTGTTTGCTTCTGGATATCCTCACAATCTCTGTTTCTTTTGGGTCAAGTCCCAGCGTCCAATGATACTGCTGTTGCTTTTTCTGTAGTTGTTAATCATTCTGATTCTACTTTCTTTGCATCACCTCACTTCAGTATTTCTTTGTTTCTTTATATTTGTCATTTCTTTTGGTTCAGAAATCTCTATGCAATTTTTTCATAC